TTACATATAAAATTAACAAATTATAATGTATTATACTAATTTTCTTAGTCAATAGATAAACGGTTTTTGTTTTTAACTTATAACTTATATAACTATTCTAAATTGAGGTTTTAGTGTTATATACTTAAATAAATTGCTATCAGTACATTTCTCACAAAAAAAAAAAAAAAATGTACCTTAACATATTGACAATACTAATATTGTATCGACTTCCTTCTAAAACTATTCTTTAAAATAATTTCTGCGTTTTATTTCGTAAATCTTAATTATAATTATTAAAGGATAGGTACTACACTTAAGTATTATACTCCGAGAATTTTTTTATTATACAATTGTAATGATTTTTGTATTTAACATTTATGCTTAAGTACACGTTACATGTTCTAAATGTATGATTATATACTTTGAAAATAAAATATGGAAATATATATAATATATATATTTTATATTATTTTAATTTTACCATAATTATTTTAGACGTTTAAAAAATAATGTTATAATCTATGTTTGGGTTATGAATTCCATGACGTAATTTAATTAAGTATATTTATTTATCTGCTGTAATTAATAACTGTAGAAATTGAAATTTACGATTAGTCGTAACAATTGGTATCTTATACAAATTATATTCTATATTTCTATATATTAATTATATAAAGTAATTTTTCTTTCAAAAATGGTCAATAAAGCTTAAAATTTACTTTAGATTTTTATATACTTTATAATAGGTTATACTAACCCTATAAATTTACGTTTTACATAGTTGAAATAACGTATCTAAATAAAATATAAACCCAGAGTTAAAATTATATTTAAAAGTTCACTAAAATATATTATTATTTATTTTTAGCTACATCATATTATATCTATAGACTACAGTAGAGAAATATTTATCTGAGAATTTTCGTAAATAAAAATCAAATATTAAAGAGTATAGTTAATTTTTTTAAATTTTTAAAATTTATGAGGGGAATAATTGACCAACATTTTATAGTGTACTTACTCTTGAACCATTCCACTCCATTCATCCCATCTTAACTTAAAATACTAACCAAGTATACTTGTTAAAAGTTTCATTTTTATAAAGGTATTTAAATTTTCAGAAAAATATAATGCTTTCGTTCAAAAAATTGAAAACTTAGTAATTTATGATGATAATATTTTTTTTTTTTTTTGTTAAATGATTCCAAATTATGAAAAAATAAATATTTTCAAAAACGTCGATACTTTTTTGAGAAAAAAATATCAATTTTAATCCTTGATAGTACCTAATTTAAAGATTGTAAATATTTTTTAAAACAAACACTAAAATGTATTACAAATAGAGAATTTCAAATAAATATAGTTAAATCAGTTCATAGTAAGTCACGAATTTTTTTTTGATGATAAATTAAAATGAACGCTGTACAGTCGTTAATAGTTGCAAATAATATTGACACTTAAAACATTTAATTACTATCAGTACATAATTAGTGAACAAATAATTATGGCAATGACATAATATGAGTAATCAATAAAGATGTAAAATAAATTGTACACATATTCAGCAATTGTTAATTTTATTTATTGAACATTCAGTATACATATTAATTGTATTTTTACATCATATTAAATGTATTATTGCAATAAGTATATTTTCAAATTTTTAAGAACATTAAAATAAGTCATATTTTTATTTGATACATTTAAGCAGTTAAGACTTTGACTTAAAATTTTTATTTGGGATAGAGATTTTTCTTAATTTTAATTTTTAAGGCAAAAATGTGGGGTATTGTGAATTAATTATTTAATCGAGTTTAAATATTCTTTTTCCACAACTTTTTAGCCGTGTAGAATATTTACATCGTTATTGTCTTTAAACGTGCGTAAAATACCTTAGAGCTAAAAATACACTTTATAAATTAAATTATGAATCCCACTTTAATAGAATACTCAAGACGAGTCCATATAATTAGTTAAGTTACTTAACAATGCGTCTTAGATAATATTTAAAAAACAATTTATATAAATCTAAAACAATAATAATTTGTTGAGCATATTTCATTAAGTTTGCTACCTATTTAACTATCTTTTTAATTGCTTTATTGTTTTAATTTAAATAAACTTAACAATAATAAACCTGAGTAAAATATATTAGTTATATGTAATATGTATCTACATTTTTATTTCTATTCTTCACGATGTTATAATATCGTAATATTTACCATAAATAACGATGATTAAAAATGTATTTAAATGTACATAATAAATTTATTTATCCAAATTGCATTGATACAATTTTTGAAAATCTCATTCATTTTTTAACGTTTTAATAATTTAGTTGATGATAAAACAAAGTATGTTTAAATTGTATTACAATCGAGAAAATGTAATAGATTTTCGCAATGTTAAAAATTATTATTTTATGGCATTTATCCCATGGTGACCTTTATTAATAGCTAACCAATCCTTTACTATTAAATTATTATTATTATTACTCGCGTTATTGAACAAACCTACTATACAGTTATAATAATTGGTTTAGGAATAGTTTTATATTGCTTAAATTTATTTTAACTTTTATTAAGTTGAATATTGATAAATTGTAAAAATTAAATTATTTATACAAATACTGATTACTGCATGTCTGTATACTGTATAGGATTGCAATTACGATTGGATAAGAGAGACTGGCGTTAAAAGGTCAGCCTAAAATATTATATTTTATATTGATATGCCGATATCTATGTCTTCACTTTCTTGCAAGTACTATTACATAATACTTAATACATCCACTTAATCCTCATTACACGATAAGCTCAAATGACCCATCTATTTATTTGTTATCTATGAAATAACATAACATACATTATATGCAAACTTTAAAAGATTACATACGTATTTACTTATTAATTAACTTAAGAGGATGTCATGCCCGCAATGTGTTATGTCCGTCTTATAAACACACAACTTACAAATTTTTGATCAGAATAATCTATTTTATATTGTTATTTTTAACATTGGCAAGTAATTATGTATATTTTGAAATAGAGTTTCAGATACGAAACAATGAACATTGTTTCAAATTTTTCATTTTTTTTTATTCAAAGCTATATTTTTTTTTTTACAATTTAAAATAATAATATCTTTAAGAGCCTTGGATATGATCTTAATAATATGCTTACTTAAGTTATAAAAATTGGCCCTCAAGTAATTTTGAATTTTTTATACCTGAACTATAATATTAAAACAACAGAGTTAAATTGTCGCTATGTGTTAAAGTTAATTTGTCGCAAGTTTGTAACGGAGACCCATGCAATAGTATGCGTCCTCCAGTTAAAACAAATGTTTTTAACATAAATGGTAAATTATTTAATAGACTTACTATTAAACGTATAATGTGAGACTTACAAGTATTTTAAGCCAATCAATTTATATATGCAATTATTAATTTGTTTATTAAACGACTATTTTGTTAGAAATTAAAATAATATTATTGCTATGATTGAAACATTAAATTTTGTTATTTTTTTTTTTTTTATTATTATTAATTTATTCTTACTAATAACACCAAAGTCTATTATTGATGAAATTAGTCACTATTTTCCTTTTAAATGATAGGAACTATATATTTTCATATCTATCATTATTCATAATGACAAGTCGACAGGATTTATATTTTAGTTAGTTTATTAACGATAAATGATGATTTTATTATTATATAAATCCTAAGTATTTAATACAATAAAACATTATTCACCTGTAATTTGAAGTATTGTTTTCTATTGTTTTGTATTTTTATACTATAAAGGGAGATAACATTGTATTAATAATTTATTTATTTATTATAGAAACTCGGGAGCTTATAAGGTATTAAAATGTGATATAAATTACATAATAATAATTAAACAGTATAATTTTACAGATAAAAATTGAGTTAGAAAGTTTAAAACTTGTATCTAAAAAAAAAAAAAAAAAAATGTTGAATTCTAAATTGATTATGTAGTAATCTAAATCATGTGTCTTATTATACATATTATCTACACTAATATCCTATTCTAGTTTCTAATAATTCGAAATATATATTGTCATTAGAAATAGATAACCATTGACTTAAAATTGATCAATATAGCAGCTATATATTATGTATAATAAGTTAATTAATGGGAATAACATAGAAGAAACTGATATATTTTAAAATATTTTAAATAATTATATGATTTATATATTTTCAATTAACTTGCATTTTTATGTTCAACTCGTTATTTTTTAGTGTCCGATAGTAAGTTAGTAGTAAATTTTCAACTACGTGTTGTATACTTCAATCCTATTCTAAAAATAATAATAAGAATAGATTTTTGTTTAATTATTTATGCATAATGTATATATTAAAGTAATTCATATGTTAATAATTATTATTTATACATGATTATTTATTTATATCTAAGTATAAATAGGTTACTCAATAATGTATACCACTCTGAACAACTTTTTGTTTAATTATTTATAAGTTGACAGGAACGTAGGTATCTAATAATTGTAATGACCAGAGATAACGCTCATTTTCATTGAAATTACTGAGATGTAACTTAAAAATTGCATTACCTTTTAAGTAAATTACTTCACTCGCAGTCACATTTTATAATTTTAAACTCACTTAATATTCATAAACATTTAATGAATTTAATATATTATATAGTTAGTTATTGAGATATTTTTTGATAGTATTTTGTTACCTACTTAATAACTATAGATTAAAATATAATGAAACTGAACCCTTGATTTAATATTAAAAACTATCTATTTATATTTAAATTACATTTTAAATACCTATTTGAAACTCGTCTTTGCACTTCATCTTGTTTTCAATGATGAAAAATGCATCAATATATTGAATTTAAAAGAAAATATTACACCCAAGTACGAATCTCGAGTTTCTCCTCCATAGATCCTATACTAATCTAATACTGTATACAATTATTTTAATTAAAAATTTACACAACAATTTAATTATGTTTTAGAGTATGTTCAATGAATTTAACAAAACTGGTACTAACCAAACCACTGGGATCGGATATGTCATCTTCGTTAACTATAGCTGTAAAAATGCAAGTACGTATTATAAATTTAATCAACTATTTTAAACAAAAACGCATAATTCAATTAATATTTGTTTATTAAATCTAATTGTATAAAATTAAGGGATCAAAGAGAACCTTAAGAACAAATGAATTGCCCCTGACTGTAAATGGATCCCTCGAAATAGAATTGCAGTTAAACTTCTGTCTTCAGGTATTTAATTTAATTGCTGTTGAGTACTTAACACTAGAGAATCTCTATAAATCTTAATATTTATTTGTTCCTCAGTATCCGCACTTTTTGAAGCGAGACGTTAACAAATTACATGTAATGCTTCAACGGCGAAAAAAGTACAAAAATCGTACTATACTTGGCTTTAAAACATTGGCCGAAGGAGTTATTAATATGTCGCTTGTAATTATATCAATTAATAAAATATAGACATACATTAATGTGTGTACACTTCATATATTTCAAACGTATTAATTTTATTCAGGTACTACAAAGACCTCTTGATCTCGAACTAGAACTTTTAAGTGATCCCAAAGATCCCAAGTCTCTTATCGGCCGTGTATATATCACGTGCTTAAATAGTCAACCCGTGGATCATGAAGATGCTACTAAACCTGTTATTGGTAATCATTAAATAAAAAAACATTTATAGTAAAAAAATTTAATTGGTTCGATACAATATTAAAATGTACAGGTATAAATATTGAATGAGTTATTTCAAATTGTGTATAGGAAGGGGTCAAGATTATTCTGATGAAGACGAAGAGTTTAGCAGCGGAGAAGAAGCATCTGATTCTGAACCAACTTTGGAAGATAGGCGAAGGAAGAAAAATATCGTGACTGGAAATGCAAGAGTAATTTAAATTATTTCTTTTTTTCTTTGATCATGATTTTAATAATGAAATAAAATATTAAAATTCAATACAATTCTGTTTTACTTTATTAACAGCAAAGAAATCTGAAACAAAAATTTATTGCACTTCTAAAAAGGTTCAGAGTTAATGAAGATTTGCATGCATTAGAAAATGATAGAGAGACCATTAGTCAAAAACTGTCAGGTATATTTAATAATTAAATTGCTTATCATTTATTTATGTTAATCCATATATTGCTGTTGTTTTAGGCGGTGACATGGATCCAGCGGATATTGAAGATCTTTTTGAGGAACTAGAAGATTTGAGCGATTCTGGGCCTGACTTGGATACTTTATCTATTTTATCTACACCAAAACCATCACTTCGTCCATTCTTTTCAAGCTCTCGTACAAATATGATACATGAAGGCATATCAGGTTTGTAATACAAAATTATAACCAAAGAGTATCTCAAAACACGGTGTATCCATTGTACATATTGATATGTATACATTTCACGATATTTTGTTTTTAATTTTTAACTAATGATAAATTCAATTTTTTTTTTTTTTTGAATCAACAGTACCTAATTGTATTTTTAAATATAAGAAAACAATATTTTTATTGTTTCAATCAAGTTTATTTATTTTATTATTTATACAGGAATAGCCCAATACAAATATTTGTCAAGTTTATAGAGTAAAATGATTTATTTATTTACATAACATAATTTTAATTTGTATGTCTACATAATATAACTAAAATATTTAATATCCATCATATTAAATGTTTATATTTGTTATTATAATATGTATAGACACTCAATGATATAAAATTTGTTATTTATAGCAAAATATATAGTAAACCACAATTAAAAATAATATTTTTGCGATTGATATAATATAAAAATTTAAAGCAGTTCAATTATTCTTGCATATTATAATGTATGTTTTTCAAATATTTAGTATTCATACATATTATATAAACAACCTACATTATATATAAAGTTTTTCTAACTTAAAGTCATTTAACAATTTATTTGAATAAAACTATATTAAATTAGCTATTAAATACAAAACATCGAGTTTTGAGGTACTTAAGTCAAAAGTGTTAATCTAATGTTGTCAACTAATGCCTTTCGGTTCCTTCTAAGATTTGAATAAAACATTTTTAGATGAGAGATTTCTGATAATTAAATGATATTGCTTGAAAATCGGGTTTCGTAGATAACTAATTAAATATTTTAACAACACGTAGTAAAGGAAATTTGGATCTGCCAAATTAACCACGTGTTTATAATATTTATTTATTCTTCTGAAAAATTAGCATGTGAATGATTCTTCTGTTTGTTCGCTGTGAACTCGATGTATATGAATATTTTACTAATGACAATGTGTTATTAAACAGCACTGTGTCATTATATTATATAATATTTTTATAAATTTAATTAAGTGTGTTGATGTGTCATTTAATATACATATTCGTTTAATTTGTAATTAATAAGACATTTAATATGACCGTAACATTTTGACATAAAGCTCTAGCGGTATGCTTTGCCAACAGTTTGAATGATTTGCGCTTATTTATCGTTAGTGACCACGAAAACAACTTGTATTACAAATGTTGCCTTATATAACAAGCTTTCAGCTCTTTGCGCGCGCTAAGGTATAACAAAAACACAATTTGTTGTAGTTTAGAAAAAACGTGCTCTATATTACACTATTTACATTTTACACATTTTTAAACATCACAAGTTTAGGGAATACACAAATATTACATTTTTTTTTAATTTTTACATTATATATAATATTAATATATATATATATATGTATGTATTTATAGAATATAGATATATTTATATATATATTTAATGCTGTATATAATACTTGTATAGTTGTTGTTTTTGTCGTTATTTTATTATTTATTGCTATTACTTGTATTTTTTTTTTATTAAATGTATATTAGATTTAATATGTGTATACATTTCCGTTGATAGGTCAATATTACATAATATATTATATTGTTTTATATGAATATATAATAGTGATGGACCAATCTTACTTTCCAAATTATAAAGTTTTCTTGAATTTGGTATTCACAGCTGAAATTGTTTAGTAGCAATAAAAATATACCTCACAATTTATGATATGAAAATTTTTTAATTACATAATTCGATTATAATATTAACTTAAACGTGTTTTAATAATCTCAACGTTTATACAAACATTTTTGATAAATGTTAAACTTTATTCCTAACTAATTATAACATCTAAAACAAATAACTTAATTTCAGAAAAATATGCATGTAAATCATAAAAAATAATTGAAAAAATGCAAGACGTTTTGCATTAGGTTGTGTCCATCACTGATTATTTTAATTTATTTATATTGTATCGTATTGTAACATAATTTTATTTTTTTGTCCAAATATTGTTTAAAAATATTATTCACTTAAATTATTTTTATATTTTTTTCACCCTGTCACTAGGACGGCATTCCCATAAGAAAAGTCACACCACAAGTTTTCCGCCCTACAACAGAACCAAAGGTTAGCACTATGAAAATTCCCGATCAAAATGCAGTTATAAGCACAAAGTATCTTCTTTTGTTGTATTTTCTTTATATCCAATGCACTTAATACTACTAACAATTTCTATATTATTCTCTTACAACAAAATTTTAACAATAAAATTCCCATTTTTAATAGTAATTTACACACTACAATAATTATTATGTAATAAAATAAATATGTGTTGTTATTTTAATTTTTAAATTTGTACATATTTAATAATATTACTTATTAGTAATTAGTATTTACTATTACATTGCATGTGCATGATAAAAAAAATATTAATATACAGTGATTATTTTAACACAACACTTATAATCTCAGTCAATGATTGTGTTTTTTTATGAATAATATTTATTTTATTTTTAGGCTATTAGATTACATTTTTTTATCTTGGTATTTTTCTAAACTGTATCTCTTATTTGTAATTAGAATATATTTGTTAATTTTCAGTTTTATTATTATTTAACTATAAACATAAAATTTCCCATATTTTCTTTGTACCTATTAATTTTTGAACAATCATAGTTATGCCTATTAACATTTTGTAATTCCCCGTTTTATACATTTCTCAATATATCAAGCTTGAAATATTCATAAGTTGTCATAAATTAGATCATTATTAGACACCTATTTAGATATATTTTTAGAAGAATATGTTGTACTTTAAAAACGACTGAAAAAAAAAATTAAAAACATAATTGACTAAAATAATAAAATACATATAAAAAGTGTACGTTAAAAATTACATTTTATTTTAATAATATACAATTATTATTATGCTTTATATATAGATAATACTATTTATAGCTTAACTATACATTTTTATCAGTAAATTTAATAATAGCTTAAAGTTTTTAATCATTATTAATACTTATTATAACAGTATAAATTTTTTTTTATGATGTTGTAGTAATGCATGTATTTCTATTTTCTTATCTTACTTATCTCACTATTTAGTTTGTTTGCAACGTGAATGCTATAACCCATGAACCTGAATATTTAAATTACAAGGACTATTTCGTATAGTTTTATTAAATTTTTCTCGTGAAATCACAAGTTCATCTGGACGTTTCGATTTATCAAACCATATTTTTCACGGATAATTTTAATTCTGTTCTTATATCACAAGTATGACGATATTATAATATTACGTTCGATGATAATTTACATTTTTAATACTAAAATTACACAAATGTATAAGTATATAAACTATAAAGTATATTGACGATAATTTTAGCAAAAAATCAATTGCTCTTTTCTTAATTCTAAGCTTTATCTACCACTATTTCACCTCATTATCTATTATAAATTATAATTCATATTACAAAATTAAATCAACCATGTCTGTATGACCACTATACCTCTATTATCCCTTAATCATTATGCACTTTCATTCGTTCTACTTCTCTTGATGTTAAAACGTTAAATTTGCCCCTTTATAAACGCCCTAACAATCTCAATAATGTTTCTCTCTCTAATACACCACCAGACATTTATTCCATTCATCATTGCCACCGACATGTATTTGTTTTAATTTATTTAATTCTTAAGCTTATTTCATCACATAAAATGCCATAGCTATATTCCGCTTTACTCGCCCAGACTTAATACTACATTTCTACTAAGTATACCTACGCATCCTCTAATAATTTACTATCTTGTTACAATGCCAAACAAATAACGACATTTATTTATCCAATTCACCACTTTTGATTAAACAATAGCCTATATGCATTGTTATTATTTACTACACGGTCGTTTTGTAAAAATGGAGCTATCGGTGTCCCGGTGACCAGAGAAGTTTGAAATCTACGATCAAATGAAAAGCCACTTTAAAAAATATATTAAAGTACTGTCCTTGATAAAGGATCCCCCATATACGATTTTCCTGCCCTGTAAAGTATAAAGAAAGGTTCGGTTAAAATGCTTAGAATTTATTATGTCAAACATATTCATAATTAAAAAATTAACAATTTACGGTCAATTTAATAAATGTTTTTTTAATAATATTATATTTTTATGTATTAAAAAAAAAACTAAAAGCATAATATCAAAATTTTAAATTATTTAGTAGGTAGATACTAGCATATCTAATAGTTTTAAAACGTTTATTACTATAAATACCATCGGCGTTGTACCTGTTAATGCATTACAACTATTTCTGCCTTTCTGGGAATACAATTTTAATTCAGGACATAGAAAATCGTAAACGAACGTGTTAATGAAATTATGAATGAATGTTATATCGAACGAACACGAACGGAAACAATTACCCGGATCTTGTAACGGTGCGGGATTCGGTTTAAAGTGTTTTTTCTTAGAACAGTTTGTTGAAACGATAATAATAATAATGTAGGCTGGTACACACGAACAATAAATTCTAATTAAACCACATACTTATTGTAGCCGCATAATAAACGCGTTTATTTCACATTTAATCTGTACGCATAAATTTAAATGGCACAATATGAACGCAAAGTTATTGTTAAATGAATTCTGATGATAAAAAATAAAACAAATTTTTAATTAACGCACAGGCGTCAAACACTTAAACGCGGCGGCTGCGGAAGACAAGCTTTCGCGGGAAAACAATTTCATAACAATGATCACCAAAAACTTATTAGAAGGAAGGCGCCGGGGCATCCCAAAATTTAAGATTTAACACTCTGCAAAAATATGAACCTAAATAAGGTTTTAATTTCAACCGTTATTCTGCAATCCGGCCGTCGTATTATTTGTATTTATTGCTAATGAAAATTGTATTCCATTTCGATTCATTGTCTAGGAATTAACCTAACAATATTGGTATGTTAGTATAATTTAAAATTACATTATAAACAAACAATTGACCTTTTTAATTTAAAGTTAGAAGAAAAACTGTTTTTGTTCACCAAAAATGTTATCTAAATATAATATAGTTCATAATTCCGTTTATTTTTTTATTTCATTGATTTTCGTAAAAATAAATCGGAAGATGTCTACAGTTCAGCTGTTAATTTTTTAACGCAACTTTATATGATAATACGTTAATGTTAATCCGCTTTATATGTAATATATTATATAGGTACGTAATTTTGTTTTTGTTTTATTATATTTTCATATTAATTCGATAGTAAAACGGCCGTTTATTGTGATAAAATAAAATTGCCAACTTTTCATAACATGCAGTGCCGCAATTACCTACCTACTTATCGTTGCATATAAAAATAATGTTATCACATTCTTTATATTATATTATGTGCTGTATAACTGTGCTTTCAGTTAAAATAAACTAGGGAAATTTTCCTTTTAAAATTATGCCTGTATTTCTAATCTTAAAAACGGTAGTATAATACAAACTACTCAGTAATTAAAATTAACTTTTATTATTATTTAACTTATAATAATGTTTTTGATATTGTAATACAATAAATTTGTTTGTAATCTATAACTGCTAAAACTATTTTCAGTTTGCATGTTCAATTTTCTTCACGCTTAATTTATTTTTATCATGATTTAGCTAACAATCTGCCAAATTAATAAAACAAATATTGGCTGGGAAAGAAATGTTATGCTTACAAAATCCATCCGTATTAGAACCAACAGATTCTCAACAAAATATACATAAATACATATATTTATTTAATGGCATAGGTGTACCAACCGTAGAGCGGAACATTGAAAGATTTAGCGATGAAAGTTCAAAAAAAGCAGATTCTGATTCATATTTGGACACTTGGACGGATAGTGACCCTACTCCGATGAATTCGTCGCCTCCAAAAATTGGCAACAATGACGACAAAAAGGTTTTTTATATTGTATACTTGAGAACTGATTATCGATGCATTTTAATACTAACGATGGACATGGGTTTTATAGGAAAATTCTGGCACGGTGGAAAAGGAAAAAGAAAAGAAATCGAGAATTTTCACCAGGGACCGCACTTCATCATCAAACAAGTACAAGAAGTCTCCGATACCGAAGCAGACGAATGATAATGATCGCTCAAATGCAAGTTTCGGCGGTACTGGAATTTCAGGAGAAAATGTTGGCTCAATGGTTGAGGTATATGTCACTGTCTAGATAAATTTAATCAAATGTCTAGGCAAATAGTCAAATGGTTCAGGTTTAAATTTTAAATTTTAATACATATTTACTATTTGTCTAGACATTTAATTTAACATCCCATTTTCGTAGATTTTTGATTTGATAAATAAAAATTTTTCCAATTATATTTTGTTCTGAGATGAAAATTACAATTTTATTGCACACTTGGTTTAAAAACAAAATTTTAAATAAAATCTATAATGTAATATAGTTTTTATAAATTTAAAAAGCCATAGGCTTCTAAAACAAATTCATATTCTTCTATGATTATTGTATTAAATGTAAAGTGATAATTTTATGGGCATTATTTACATTCTAAAAAATGACGCAAGCCGTTACTTCCAGCACTAACCAATAAATAAATCAATTCAATAATTTTTAATTTAATTTTAAATAATATGAATTGTTTTCTTTATAACTCCAACAAAATATTAGAATAAAATTATAGTAGTAATATTTGCTTCTAGATTAATATTAAATAAAACTGAAATCTCTGTTTAATATAAATTGTATGTATAGTGTATACTTACTAAATTTATGTATTTACACATACAGCCTAGAAAAGCATTGATGGAACAATTGTCTAAAGTGTTGCCACCCGAGGATAAAATGCCAGAAGTGTTGTGTTTAGTACACTATGCAGATCCATTAGGTTGTCAGCTTGCATCCAAACTACAGAATTATCATTTTAAAGTCATCACACCAGCTGGGTTAGCCGATGTGCGTGCTACCTTTGTATGCATTGTTAACAAGATACAGAAATAGTAAGCACAAAAAAAAAAACTCTTTAACATACAAAATTTAGAACCACAGCTAACGTTTAGTTGTGTGTTACATATTATTTTAGGACATCTTGTTCAACTTTGTGTCTAACAAAAATAATCGTAATAATGATACATAATATTATTTGTTTTATAATTATTTTAGCTGTAATTCTAACCCCAAACCCCCAAATCAAATGAAGATATTACTTGCTGGTTCTGATAGCTTTGTAAACTATGTATTACGACAGTATGTAGAACAGTTATCATTCAAGCCACCTGATTGGATGAATTATATTAAATTTTATATTATACCATTAGGTAATAATAATGAATAATAAACTAGTTTATGTATGTATAAATAATGTTAACACAATTATATTACGCAGGAATTAACACACTCTCAAGATATTTAGGTACAGTTGACAGCTTTTATGGTACAACATTTCTGTTCAAAGAAGATTACTGGAAGGAACAATTGGAATGTGGTGATGGAACAGATATAATACTTAAAATCCAAAATTACATCATGGAAGCATCTAATACAATTCAGTTGCAGATTGCTGAAGCAATGCTATCATATAAAGAAAAAAGGTATATTAATAAAAATGAAAATTAGACACAAACAACAAATTATAGCCATATAAAATACATATTTACTTTTACAGTTCGGATGATGAAGCCTTACAAACATTCATACCTTTTGTCAATGTAAGTCTACATTAAATTTGTTTTAAAAAGTCAAATAGGATTAGTTTTGACCAATAATAATTTAAATAATACAATCAACTCGCGATAAAACGTATTTCAAGAGACTGTGAAAAAAATTTGTTATATCGAAAGTTTGTTACATCATAATTCGTTATATTGGGATAATAATATATACCTATTAAATTCGTTATAGCGAGATTTTAAGAAAAATTCAAAATTTAAATCAATAAAAAATAAATACATATTTATTTAATAATTGTATTTAATTGCATACATATGTATAAAATGCATGGGTCATATAAGTATGTATTTATTGTTTAATTTCAATTTAAATGTGTAATAATATTGCTAATAAAAATATACTATAATAATAATTTTGCGTTTAATATAATAATATCGCTGTCGCTGTCCATTATACATGTGCATTTAATTTTTTTTAAATAGCAACATATTTATTTTTATATATTTTTCATAGAGTTATACACTAGAAACATGTATCTTATCTTAATTAAAATTAAAAATTTGTAATAGCAAGATCCAAACTTGTAAAAATTTGTTACATCGTGAGAGTTTTGATCAAAAAAGCTTCGCTACTATTTCAAGGGGACCAAAATACATTAAATTTTTTCGTTATATCGCGATATTTTCAAGGACCGGTAATTTCATTTGTTAAATCAAATTTTGTTATATCGCGATTTGACTGTATTTAATATAAATAAAAACTATTATTATTATTAACAATATATCCATCTTATTATTATTTATTCATAGATTTTTTTCTTATGTAAAAATAATTGTTGATTCTAACTTATTAAATTTTTATTTGCTTTATAAACTTATTATAATCGCACCATTTTATAGGATGTGAGAATTTGTTCTGGGGATGCAGCATCAGGCTCAAATGATACAGATGATCAATGCTCAATTATCATTGATCGTAAGTCCATCCTAGACAAAACAACGCCACCCAATTCACCCAATATTGGTATGCAATATTTGCCTCCACCTACAAAGCAAGTCAATTGGTAAATACTATATAACCTTAAATATTTTTATTATCTAAAAATATTATTCCCTATAGGGAGCTATGTGAGCCTCTAGAATTACAACTTGACTATTGGTTGGTGCCAAACACTAACAGAGAAATAACTGCTCGAGGCAGTGAACCAAGCAGTAAGCGAGTGGATACCAAATTCACATTAAAGACTGGTTTTAAGAGCTTACACATCTCAAGACTGTTTTTGACCAATGAAGAACCACTAGCATTTTTTACTGTGAGCTATATTAAGGAAAAAAAACAAAAAAGTAAGTTATCATTATAGCATATGTATGCAAATGTTTATTCAATATTAATAATATTAAGAAAATTATGTACTTGTATCATTTTAACCTTAATGATTAAATTTATCATTTGATTTAATAATTTTATTTTTGTGAACTAGACATTTGTATTCTTTACATTTTATTTTATTTTTCATGAATTTCATGCATGAAAAATAAAATATTAAACAAATCTTATGTATGCTAGACCTTTTTTAAACAGTTATTTTTTATATAGTTATGCGACTGGGAAAAAAGAAAGAGAAGGAAAAAGACTTAGATCCCAAGAATCAAGTAATTGACAGTGTATTAAGATTAATCTGCTCACCAAAAACTCAACATTATCCTCTCACGAGTAAATCAATTTTACAAGTTACTTACTTGTCTATGGTATTTATTTTATATTTGAATTTCTAGTAACTATTGATGGATATGAGTGGAGTGGTGTTAAGTTTTTCCAATTGTCATCACAATGGCAAACACACATCAAACATTTTCCAGTTGCAGTTTACTCATTGGATTATCAACCAGCAAGTTTACCGCACTTAAATCGTGGACTTTAAACTACCATAAATATTTAAAGCTGGTAATTAAATTACTGTTACAGTTAATATACAAACTTGTATGGCTTAACCAATCAAACCAGTTAAAGTATGAGTAACGTGTGAAAAAAATAAAACATAAATAGTCTTTAATGTAGTTTGTGATATCACATCCATGCACACACAATTCACTTACATACATAATATTGATAAATATATGACTGCAAAATATCCAAATTTTAAAAGTTTTTTTTGGGAACTAAAAAAAACAAAACAAGGAATCCAAACTTGTACATGTGAAATTTATATTGTGTAATTTAGTAAATTGATTAATGTGTTAAAATAAAAATAGTTCTTTTATCATAAAAATATAGTCAGTTGTAAATTCCCTTGATAAATATCCGTGTAGGTTTTACATAATTATTTTGATAAATCAATAATTTTACAAATCACTCAAAACTATATATCAGCTTAAAATATTTATAACTTCATAGTTAATTTATTATTAAACCTTAAAAGTAAATAATAATTATTATTATCTTATAATAATATTTTTAACTTATAATTATCTAGACTTAATGTTTACAACAGTTATGTCTTTGATCAATGAACTTCACTTATTCAATACCACATATCAACTATACTTAACATGGAGGCCTTTAATTTGTATAAGGAATTCTCTGATCCTGGTTAATTATAGTAAATATTATGATAACATGATTTTGTTTTAATTTTAAACATCTCCAAATATTGATTGGTGTGCTTGGTTTTAAAATGTAATTACTAGATAGCAATATGAGTATTATTTATTGTAGGCGACAACTTTTTAAATTATGCTGTGATTGTGAACATGTTAACTATTAAATTGGATCATATACATAATGCTTTCTATTTGAAAATAAAATAATTTTTTTTTTATAAAACCATATTATATTGTTTCTACTTAAACAGAACCTTGTTCTCTCTTGAAAATGTTATTCACTATGTGATACTCATCTAAGTAAACCATGTTCAAATGTTATTTTAGTTTTCTTGAAAATTCATCTTGATTCTAACTAATGTGCCATACTGTATAGCCTTTATTTGTTAATTGTATTAATTAATACATTAATAAGTCTTGATTAAATGATTTTTATACTATAAACCAATACATAATTAATTTAATCAAAAACATGTTATAATTTTTTTTTTTGTTTCAGTTTTCTTACACCTAACTTAAATTTTAAAAAAAAACAGAACAACCTTACAATAAAAAATTCATTTATTTTTAACTATAGGTATTTTCATTTATTTTATAATCTGAATTATATATTATTCATAAGTATAATAAAGAAACCATTAAACCCCCTCATAATTATTGTAAACCCTATATCCAATGTTTTTATTGTTGTAACCAAAGACTACACGTTTTATTATTATAATTATTGTACCTAATTATCTTACTACTATTTATGTGTGATTTTTATTTATTTGTGATTTTATAAGTTTAACTACCAAGACTTTTTTATGAAAACAATTTTTATAATGTAATATTACTATGAAAATCATTTAAAACGTCTGTAATAACACTTGATAATTAAATTAAATATTATTATTTAAATATCAATATCAATAGACTTAAGGAAAATAACTATAGTTATTTTATTCTTATTATATTGCTATAGCTATTATAATTACTATCATATTACTATTATTATTAGTATTAGCATTTTATTATTATTATTGCCTACCGATTAGACACTAATACATCACAATAACCAATGCCAGTATCTTACATGACCGATGGTTGGGAGACATCATCAGCGTTGTTTTAAAGCTCCAACTACTACAATTTGGATCAAACAGCAGAATTGTAAAGAACAATATTATTAAATTGAATCTCATGAACATATTAACTGCCTTATTTAACCAGCAACGCTTTATTATTTTTTTTTTTCTTAGCTCGTAAACAATAATATACTATCATTTAAGGGTCAAAATCAAACTACAAAATAAATGTTATTATTGACTATTGTAATAAAAAATATATGTGAATGTGTGTGATACCATTCAGTTAATTTCAATACTTTCTCATGAAACGCAATAATTGATGTACCAAGATTTTTTTTAAATAAAATTATTTTTATGATTTGAACCCTAAATTAGTAATAATGTCATCATTTCAAGTATATTACAGGTATATCAGGGTAGTCAATCTACATAAATTGTCATAATTTATAACTGGATATTTTTATCATACATTAAACTATGTTTATAAACTTAAATTCATTAATAATATGACATACAAAAGAGTAAAACATTTATTAACTTTCCTAAACTTGAGACTTGTGTACGTTATTCATAAGAATATGTTTGATGTTTGAACACTAGCTTACATCATTTTCGTTAGTTCTATATATTATTAAAAAAAAGAAAAAACTGTAGTAATAGATAATGGAATTATATTTTTTAAATAACCAAATAAATAAATAAATAACAGTTACGCAGAAACTTTTTTTTACAATGGAGAGTGACAAAAATATAATCATCACAAGTCACATAATGTTTTTAAGTGTTACATAATATATAAATATAATTTTCTTTATTTTGTATCACCTTGCAATTATTTTTTTTTTTAATTTATATAAATCAATCATATATTTATAATATGTAAAATTGACAAATTATTTTGTACATTTTCATGATAAAAATTGTATCAACAACCAATATAACTGAAATACCACAAATTTTTTCTGTGGAGACAGCATAAATATAAGGCAGTATAAATATTTATACCTACTTCAGAAGATTGTAAGATTCAAAAATTTGTTAACGTTTTAACTTTTTTATTTTATGACAAAAAAAAATATCAAAGTGATCTTCAATCACTTTTTATAGCAAAAGAAAGTGAAGAACTAGTAAAAAGATTTTTTTTTATTATTATTATTATTATTAATGTAGTATAATATGGTATATGGTGGTTTAGTGTAAACATTTTTGGTGGAGTAACCATTGTGTATTTAGTATTTTATCAGCAACATAAATAAATTTCTATAAAAATAGAAAACAAAAACATATTGCTGGAAGCTTAGAATATTATATTACTGTTTTTACTAATTCATTTAATTTGAACATGTAATTATTTCCTGGATTGTTGACAAATGCGGTAGCACTTTTTCAAAATGGTAGAGAATCATAGAAAAATTTAAAAAACTATACTACAGAATTACAACTTAATTGTTTTACTGGTACTAAAAACACTTACTTAACCATGCAATTTGTTTTGTTTAATTCCAAAGTCAAAATATGCTTGTATAATAAAACTTTGTTACAAAGCAAAATGAGTAACCGACAAAATTATTGATTAGTAATAAGTAATAACAAAATTCTTCAATAATAGTCCACACTAAGCTTGTATATTTTATAATTTATCAAAACAATACCGTTTTCATGTTAAAAGTGTTTAATAAAGACATTTGAATGTAAATATTAATAATTATTTAGATTTAAGACAATAATTGATTAAATATTAGCTGAGAAATTTTGTAAAAATGAATTTTAGTTTAAAAAATAATTGCATTACAACCAGCCAACGATTCTTTTTACCTTCAGAGGTAAAATTATTAAGCTAACGCCACAATTATTACTCCATAAATATATTTAAACCAATTTAATTAATTAGGTATAATATGATTCAAAATATTTGAATTTTTAAAAACCAATATATTATAAGTAAAAATTAACATAAAAAATGTATAATTATTTGAAATGAGTAAATAATTAAGTAAATAGAAATTAGAAACTATCAATATATCTAAAAAGAAAAAATGTATAATTTTGTATAATGAACACTAACGTTAATAACCGGTAAGTTATATAAACAATCAAATAACTATTCTTTCCTCTCATTAAATTCACAATAACTAAAATTAATTTATAAATTCTCGAACAGACATATCAGTATTCTCAGGCTTCAACTCAATTTAATAATGAAAATATTTAAGTTTTAAGTTTTAGTTGTTTTTAGTTGCAATATCATGGTTAAATGCTAAAATTAATACAGTATAATATTTATATAAATGTTTTATTTTAATAATAAAAAAATTACAGAATACCTACTATTAAATTCTAATATTGTTGATTATTACAAATTAATTAATTGTTTAGTTTTCTTAATTTCATGTAGTCAAGTACAATATTTTCTTTGATTTTTTTGAAATGACTCTCATAAATTTTAATGGTGGATTCATCAAAGTATGTATTGTATTTTTTCCATAACTTTCTTTTAGTGGAATCCTTTCTACTATTTTCTGGAGCTAAGTTACACATTAAACCTACAAACATTTTAAACAATAAATAAACATTAGGAATTATATAGTATATTATTAAAACTAAAATTAATATTATATATATATATATATATATATATATATATAAATTTATTATGTACTTTGCATAATAAGTATTTCATAATTTCTAGGTTAATTTGTGTAGATCAAACAAAAATAAAACGTATAACATTTGTAATATAAAGCAGTATTGTAAAAGAGATTTTAATAAGATGCATTTTAAAATTTAAATTTATTTCCAAATCTAAATGAAGGCTACCATTTTTTAACTTTATTAAATTGTAGCAAATAGTTATAGCTATGCTTGATTTGGTATTTTTAAACAATTGAGGAATAGTTTAGAACATAACTAACTATTAGATTACCTGCTTTGTGTGCCATAGACACTAATTTAGACATTTTCTTCTGTTGGGTTTTACAGAGACCAGTAACTCGTTGAGGCATCATACAACCGTCAGGTCGTACAAATTGGCTAAGAATCAATACATCCTAAAACAAAATTAATAATCTAGGATTGATTTGAACTGATAAATTAAATGATTAATAGTATACCGTATGTTTGACATTCAAGCCCAGATTGCACAATGAACAGCATTCGCTGTTGTTTTGAATAACCTGATCTTTCCTAGGAGACGTCACAAAAGTTCCTTGGATAATCAACTTGCTACCAACCTTGTTGGCATGGACTATACGTTTCAACAAGAGCAACACATTAAAAACACAAACCTAACCGATGATACATTGGCCATAACACAATTGTACTTACTCTCTTTCAGTTTCATTGGCACCGTTACGTGCAAACCACTGCTAGGCATGAACAATTTTGAGGATACTTTGCTCGCGCCAAATAGAATGCCTGACAATGGCGTTTTGAACATTTTGACGCTTATGAAATTCACTTGAAACGGAAAACAGTTTTAAAACGAGGTAACTGAAACTAACTAATTTTTCACTCTTCACGGGAGTTTTGATGGAATATTAAAATGTACTTAAAACTTAAAAGTTAAAATGTCGTTTGACTCGAGTTGGATTTTACACTGATAATAGGGTGATAAAAATTGATACCAATGATCTCGGTGTGGAAAGAATTGAGAGCTGATAAAAAATGCGGTGGGAGTGATGAGATCTGTTAATGTGTTGTTCCTATGAACGTTGTTACTTAAAAATTTAATATTTGTTTGAAATGTTTGGTTATTCGAGATTTTCAACAAGAAAATTGCAAAACGTACTAATCATATCCGAGTCTTAAAACGAATTGGTACGTTTCGCTGGTACATCGTACGTCGTATAAGTTCGTAAACAATCGATTTTGAACCGATACGTATCGATACACTCAAATTTTGTCCTCGAAAATCTCGATAGTGATTCTTCGGCAGCCGGCGATTTCGTTGATAACGTCATGTATGTCCGTGTTCGTATATCAACTTTTGGGTTCTCACTTTCATAACGCTTCTGATTTACGAAAACAAATAATACAAGTCCACCGGCCGCTGCCCGACAAACAACGCTACAGCGTTGTACTCTACAAAGTGCATACTACATACTCCCCACGCCATACGTCTGCAACAATCCCCAGTTTTTGTGACTTGTTAATTTAAGTTTGTTTGATACCGTTCCTAATTGATATTAATTTTAGTCTACGAAAGTCTAGAACAAAACCATCATGAAGTTGGTCAAGTAAGTAGAATAATTTTGTATAGATAATCGGTGTATTTTTCTCTTTTTGTACTTAGTCAGTTTATTTATTGTTAATATGCTCAAATTGTTTAATTTTATGTTTAATATTTTGGTATTTTACATTATTAAATATGCCAAGTTCATAGTAATTAATGAATAAACAAACTGGTTAGCTAAGTAAAATTGCAAAACTTTATAATTTGAATAAAAAATTTTAGTTGCCTTCATATATTTGTTAAAGCGTAGATACTAAGACATTTAAAATTTTACTTAATATAAATCTCCAAGTATGTAACTGAATATTATTTTCACTGTTATTTTGATATATACTTAACCTATATACTTTGAATATTCATAACCTATATCTTAAAATAAGTAATTTGCATGAGTACCCCCTGCTATAGACAGATATTTCCAATTTTAGTCAAAAAAAACTGACTGTTGAAATATTTTTATATTGTTATAATTCTAGTTTATTAATTTATAATTCAATATTATACAACTATTTAATAAATATTCCATTGCTATTATTTAAGAAACATATCTCATAGTGGTTAATATATAACTATAACACTGCTAATACATGAACAAAATTATTTCGTTATTATCATCTGTATTTTATTTTATTATTCATAATCTTATGTTAAGGATTATTATTATTTTATATTTTTTTTTTCATGCCTTATTATTATCATTTAAATTTTTCTCCAAGTAGATATTATTTCTTCTTTTTTTTTATTAAGTATAATTAACTTTATACATTTATTTGTTATATAGGTAATTTTAGGTCTTTACACGAGTAATTTCGTGTGAGAAGCTTCACTAATTATTAAGCAGTAATCTCAAAAAGTACTTAAAATAATAAAAAAAATTTTACTTTTATAATTTTCAATCTGTATAAAAAAAATTTTTTTTAATGATATTGAAAAAATAATAACAGTGTTGTTAGGCTATGGCATAGAGAACATTGTCATATATATCATGAATAACTATGAGTGAAGCCGGAGTATTTTATTTTTATGTAAGTCCAAACATTCCAAACTTATATTCACATATAACGGTGAATATGTTAATAAAAAATAAGATTTTATAGATTAAACGAAACAGTTATGATTGGAGGTAAAAAGTTTATAAAAGTTACTAATCTTTATCAGTTCTTCAACTTATTTAGTAGATTATTATAAATTAAATAAATATATATTGAAAAAAATGTTGAAAACTGAAATATATGAGACTATGTTAGTTTAAAATACTATTGTCCGATTCATATAAAAAAACTATGCATGCACAAGATTAATGTTTGATTTGTAAACATAAAACATTTTATAAATAATTGTTTTTTCTTTTATATAATTATTTCATCCATATTTACAGGTTTTTAATGAAACTAAGTCATGAAACAGTGACATTAGAACTAAAAAATGGCACTAGTGTCCATGGAACCATTACAGGTAAATAATAAATAAATTAAAATCCAATAAAATTATGTTTTATATCTTATTTGATTGCTTTAGTTAGAAAAATTGAACTTATTTGCATTTATGCCTATATCAAAAGAAAATTCACCAGATAGCAACTAAAAATACATAGATTGCTGAACATCAATTTTCTGATTAACTGAATTTAAGTATAACTATATAAATACATATGGATGACTAAGTATGAGTATAATATAAATACATTTTAACCTGTAAATAAAGTCATTCTAAGGAAATATATTTTTGTCAATTTTAGACACAAAGTCATAGTTAAATGGTTTAATTAATACAGTAATGTATTATTAATGCTTTATTTTAATAATAAGAAGGAAATAAAACAATCAAGCTGAGTTTAACAGCCAGACAGGAAAGTTACAATTAAAAATTTATTGATGTTGAAATTCAAAAGTTAATTTATTTAAAAATTAAATTGAGCTAATTAATTTTTAATATAGTCATTTTATAAAATAAAAAAATATACTGTATAAAAGGATTTTTATCAGTCAAAAATTTCCTACTAGCATTATTAAGCCTACAACCCAATGTCATTCACATTATGCTTTACTAGAGTTTATTATATTGCTATAGAATTATTTATGAAATATATATTATGTATAATTTTTTATCTATTATTTATTGACATTGAAGTATAGTTCTTTTATTTTCTGTGATGTAAAATAAATTTATAAAGATAAATATTTAATAAATAATATATTAAATGTGTATAAAATTATTATAAATATATTTATAAAGACTTTAGAGCTGTTAAATTAATTAAGCCTCTGAGCATTATAAAATAAAAGTTTTCTACAAAATATTTAAAACTAAAATACTTTCATATTAATCTATTTTATTTTTATATATTTACAGTTGATTTAATTAGTATAAAACAAAGTGACTCTCATATTACCTAAATTTATCTTTGTACCTAACCTGTTACTTAGTATATTCCATAAACTATTTAAAAATTTAATATTTTAGGAGTTGATGTAGCCATGAACACTCATTTGAAAACGGTAAAAATGACAATGAAAAATAATCAGCCAGTACATTATGAAACACTTAGTGTTCGTGGTAACAATATACGGTACTTCATTTTACCAGATTCACTAACCCTAGAAACACTACTAATTGATGATACACCTAAATCAAGGGCTAATCATGGTGGGCGAGGTATTCGTGGAGGTTTGTTATATAATTTATTTTCAATAAATAGCCATTTAACTACATTACTAATTTATAAATGATTATTGGTTGTCTTGTTGTTTTAGGACCTGGAAGAGGTCGTGGACGTGGAGGTCCAAGAGGACGAGGAGGTCGTGGAGGACCTCGCGGAGGTGGAAGTCGTGGACGTGGTGGACCACCTCGACGTTAAAAATATAATTCATGTCAATATTACTATATTAGAAAATCTTTGGAATATATAATTTTATATATTTAAAAATTTTAATGCGTATTTAGTTGATTTTTGTCCATTTAAAACCATGTTCTACTTATATTTACTAGAAAATAAAATACCTTTTTCCAACTTGTGAGGATTTGATCTCACTTAGGTTTTTTATCCAATTAGGTCTATCATATGTTAATTGTACAATCCTAGTAATCGAATACATTTTCTGAAAACATTATTTAATTATCCTAAAAGTTTGCTTGAAAATAACTTTTTTACTTTTTTTGAAATTAAATTAACCCTTTAAAACTTAATATTTTAATTTTGAACAATACGAATTTCAGAATATTAATAATATTAAACTAAAAATTATCAATATAAAAATGTAAGTAAGTTGTTTTAAAATAAACTTAATGGTGAATTCAGATATTATATTATTTAAAAATGGTTGGTATAATATACCCTTAATCAAACAATTACTTATAAATAGGTGTATAATAAATATAAAAAAATAATGCAAATTTATAAAATTTGGAACAAAATTAAAATCCTAAGATTGTAATATTTGGTACATTATGTTACAATTAAATAAATACTTATTTAATAGTTGCTCATAACATTTAATTTTTAACTTTAAATGCATGTATAACTGTGCATCTATGTTTCTTTTAAACTTTGATTATCAATTAAAATTTCCATCATAGAAATTTTTCTTTAAATTTGATTGTTTTTAACTATCTTAGGAAACATGTTTTTAAATAATACTAACAGTAGTATAATTTTTTTTTTATCTTTGGCATTTAAATAATTAATCTCAGTAAAATGTGATCAGTCATTAAAGGAGTAGTAATAATCAACATTTTAATTATTATAATTATACCTTGAAAAGATTCTATGTACCTAAAAAGTAATAAATAAGATCTGCATGTTAATACATTTACATGTTTTTATTGGATAAACCAAAAAATTTCTAGATCAGTTACAAATTTAAATTATATACCTGTATAAATTTGAATGCAAACTTTATTTTACATATAACTGCATATTTCAATCTTTTTTTTTTTATTTATTCACATATTTCGAATATTAACAAAAAAAGTTACTTCTAAAAGGTCTATTAATAAATAAAATATAACAGTTATTTATACTTGTGAATAAAGGCAATGTTTAGTCTTTATTTGTAATTTTTTTATATTTAAAAACACATTCATTTAATAATTTATTTCATTTTTAAATGTTTAACAAAATAATGTTTATAATAACTATCTAAAAAAATTTAAATAAAAATATTTTTACGTATATTTATAAATTTAAAAAATAATAAGGGCATATTTTAGTGTATAAGTGCATGTATATTTCAGTAATTTTAGTGCATAAACTTAAAACTGCATAACCTAAAACTAATAAACATTGAAAATTATAATCATGAAAAATGTATTTATAATTTATTACCTTGGTAGTCTACTTTAAAACACTTTTCAAAAAATAAATTGTTTTATTATATAATATACATACTTTTATGGTACAAATAAAAATTTCGTCATTAATAATTACAGACATATTTGAATATTTCCCAAATTCAAACAATTAGTGGAATTTATAATTTAAATTAGATGTTATAAATAAATTATAATATATATTTCTGAACCAACTGAAGCTTATTTTTAGCCATGATTATTAAAATAACTAACAATAAAATGTAATTATGCTGTAATTAATATTTTGATAGTTCCTTTTAAATATCTATTCAGATAGTATACCTTAATTGTTTCTTTTATTTTCTATTATCATGGATCAGACATGCAACACATACATGCATTTTCATTTTTGAAAAATCTATTTATTTTTCGATACTTGATATTTCTGGTAAAATAATTTTTGTTTCCTATGTGCTTATTTTTTAATTTGCTAAGGACTTATAAAAAATACTGATTGAAAAATTTTTTCTCCCCAAACCTTGGATTTTTGTTGACCATAAACTTACATTTTATTAAGACTTGAATCTTTGATACAGTATTTAATGTTCTTTAATAAATTGTTTTTGTGAATATAGTTCTTGAAGATGGTGCAATTTTAAGCTACTATGATGTTTCTAATGTGGATCTTCTTTCTTTATTTTTGAATTGTAAACTTTAACTTTTTTCTTTTAAAGTATATCTTTTATTTTATATTAAAATTTGTATAGTATTAAGTTCTATATTGTATCATTTTTTTTTTATTTTCATTTACTAAAATTAATTATTAATTACTACTCATTTACTTATGTATTGATTTAATATAATCCATGACAATTATGAACAATTCTGAAATTTTGCCCTCCCAACAACTGAAATTCCTAACTGGTAATAAATGTTATATAATATTTATTACTATGAGATAATTATTGATTACCTTTTGTCTTACAATGTATTTGAATTAACGAAAAGATTATAAATTATTAAAATCTAGTTTTATAAGTATCGGGCAAATCTATTACCATAACGATAGTATTATGTGTGTTAAAATTTGCATAAGGTCATTAACATAACATTTATAATTTATTGGTTACTTTTAAAACTAAAACTTAAAGATTATTTATCTATTACTTAAACTCGAAAATCTCAAACTTATAAGAATCAAATAAACATCATCTCTATAATATATTAGAGCACAAAATATACATTATCAACACTAAAATGTTAATAAAAAACTCAATATTTATTTGATCTTCTTGAAACCAATACCAAAAGATTTGTCTCTTTCTTTTATTTAAAAATTAATTAACATCAGGTGCACTATGTTTTATCCACATTTTTTAATTTTTAAAAAACCATTTTGTATGGATAATAATACACAGGATATACATTTACAAAATAAAAATCTTAATAAAACTCTCAGTGTTCATTGGATAGTATTGAAACATAAACCAAAAGATTCGCCTTGTCATTGTGTTTAATTAGAAAAATTAACTTCAACTTCACTATGTCTTTTTCAGATTTTTTACAATTAAAATTCCATTATAATGCACGATATTACTCAGAATACACATTTATAAAAATAAAATCTTAATAACAAACTCATTAGTCATTGGATCATCTTGAAACCAAATCAAAAATTATTGTCATCAGTTTCTGAGATCTTAGTCTAGAAAAGTTCACTTTTAAATATCGTTTCACTGTTTTTTATAGGTAGTAATATATTAATATTATTTACCATGTTATCATTGTAGACGTAAGTCTTTTATCAACAATCACTGCAATAAATCGTTTAATTTTCGTCAGTTTGTCATGAAGAAAAAATACTATTTAGGTAGGTAGTTTAAAATTTTTATTCAATTTAGCATGACGACAACGATTATTGTGTTTATTGAGTTTTCCTTTGTACGCCAATAAATATCTTATCGTCATTTAGACATTATTTATATAAGGGATATGAAAAGTCAGTGGTTATTTTAGTTTCAATACTTTTGTTTTTACTTTGGTGTATACGAAGTTAAATTCGGGTAGTTGTCAAAGCTTTTCCAACGAATTCACTTTACCATATTGTATGCGTTATTCGGTGATACTGCGATTACTTTGATTTTTAATTTCATAAATGTTTGAATGCTCTTACTCGACCGCACAACAAATTTAGTCATTACCGGCCCCTAACCTTTATCATCAATATGTAATTCTATTTTAGTTTAAACAATTGCCTGTTAATAACAAATTATTTTTTATTTTTTAGCAGAAGCATCAAACGAATGTAATTCTTACGCATTTTAAACTGCTAATGTGTACATCGTTTTTCCAGTACACGCGATTTTGTTGATTTTAAAATGATTTTTACCCGAAATTTAAGGTAAGCCGATATTGTGTTCTTGTATTTATCCTATATGATATCTTGGTTATATAATGGATTAAGCCATTGTTGAAATCTATTACATTCCAATAGTCATAAAGTGTATGAAAAAAATTAGAATACTGTAATAATGTTATCAACAGATAAAAGTTCATGCTATAAATTCCAAGTTTGATATAAGCTAATCTGTTCTTATGTTTAGGTCAACTACAATATTGGATTCTATTGCAGGCGAATTTGGTAAACTTTATACTTCTACGAACTGGATGTGATATGCGTCAAACTTCATATGTGTGCCTGTTCAAGTTCAATAAAATCTTTATTGTGCGATTTATATTTTGTGACAGTGGAGAGCATTGAGGTGTTCATTGACCATTTCTGCCAATAATTTGATGTCAACAAAACTAGATATTTGTTAGTTGTATCCTAAGTATTCTTTGATAATAGCTAATACTTTTGTATAGCATTAAAACTTTTTTTTTTTTTTTAGGACCCTTTCCTTAACACATGAGGATGTCTGTTTATCATGAAATGGTGGAAAAACTATGGCCAAGACTATGTTTTGTACTACAATGTATATGATACGAAAAAACAGATTATTTATTATTAAAAACTAGTTTCATAAGTATTAGGCATTAGAATAATGTTAGTACCTAAATGTGTGTTAACATTTGCATAACATTAATTATAGAACATTCAATATTCATTGGTTCCTTTTGAAACCAAAACCAAAAGAATTGTTATTACTTCTTAAACACTAGAAAAGTCCATTTAATGTACAATTTGTTTTATTTTACAGTTCCAATAATCATTTTCTCTGTTAAATATACTAACAAAATTACATTTTCAACACTTAAATCTTAATAAAACACTCAATATTGATTGGATCTACTTGAAACCAATACCAAAAGATTTGTCTCTTCTTTTTATTTAAAAATTAATTAACATCAGGTGCTCAATGTTATTTCCATATTTTTTTATAATTAAAATACCATTTCAATGTTTGATTTTCCACAGAAAATACATTTTCAACACTAAATTCTTAATAATATTTTCAATATTTATTTGATCTTCTTGAAACCAATACCAAAAGATTTGTCTCTTCCTTTTATTTAAAATTAATTAACATCAGGTGCACAATATTTTCAGATATTTTAAATTAAACATTATAATAATATAATACAAAATATACATTTTCAACACTAATAATAAAACTTCAATATTTATTTGATCTTTTTGAAACCAATACCAAAGATTTGTCTCTTCTTTATATTTAAAAATTAATTCAAATTACTATGTTTTTATTTTTATAATTAAAAACTATTATAATGCATCATAATGCACAAAATATACATTTCAACACTAAAATGTTAATAAACTCAATATTTATTTGATCTTCTTGAAACCAATACCAAAGATTTGTCTCTTCCTTTTATTTAAAATTAATAACATCAGGTGCACAATAATTTACAGATATTTTTAGAATTAAAAACTATTATAATGCATCATAATGCACAAAATATACATTTTCAACACTAAAATGTTAATAAAAACTCAATATTTATTTGATCTTCTTGAAACCAATACCAAAGATTTGTCTCTTCCTTTTATAAAAATTAATTAACATCAGGTGCTCAATGTTATTTCCATATTTTTATAATTAAAATACCATTTCAATGTTTGATTTGCACAAAATACATTTTCAACACTAAATTCTTAATAGCATTTTCAATATTTGTTGGATCTTCTTGAAACCAATACCAAAGATTCGTCTCGTCTTTATATTTAAGAAAAGTTGAATTCAAGTGCACTATTTTTCAAGCTTTTTAGATTAAAACCATTTTAAACCATCATAGAGCCTCAAACCATTTCAACACTAAAATGTTAATAAAAAACTCAATATTTATTTGATCTTCTTGGAACTAAAATTAAAACATTGATCTCCTCTTTCATTATAAAGTGTATTTAACATCAAGTTCACTATGTATTTTCAAGATTTTCTTATATTTCAAAAACCATTTTAATGCATCATAGAGCACAAAATGTATACTTTCAATACTAAAATCTTTATAAAACACTCAATATTAGTTGGATTATCTTTAAACCAAAATCAAAGGCTTCATCGCGTCATTCTACATAAAGAAAACTGAACATCAAGTCCACTATGGTTTTCCAGATTTTGTCATAATTTAAAAACCATTTTTTATGTTTAAACATACTCAGTTTATATAGTTACAACTCTTAAAATCTAAATAAAATACTCAATATTCATTGGATCATTTTAAAACTTTAACCAACAGAATGTTGTTGTTCTTCTTACTTTAGATAACTTAGCATAGAGCTATTGGCGGAACTATACATTTTTATTGAATTTGGCCACTGGTTTTGATCAAGTCGTACGCGTATTTATAATTTGTTGGAGTTGGAGGTGAAGATTTCTTAATATTATTATTTTTATTTTTTAATATAGTTTGTCGCCTATTAGTATATACTTGTATAGTTGTGTTAAATATCTACAAATTTTTATTTAAAACTTAAAGTTATGAAGTATATTTATAAGTACTTACAGTTCAATATGTTTTTCTGTTTAAATACGAGACCCAAATTTCTGGTTTCCAACTTATTACCTATTTGTTGTTTTGTTTGTATAATATTTTTATAATTAAAAATTACTACAATTCAAATGACCAAATTATAATTTATGTATTTTGATATTATTTGAATCAAGATTCAAAGGCATTCTTTAAAAATAGCAGAGAAAATTCCATATTATATTATGTTTTCAAAAAACAAATACAATGTTTTGAACTTAAGATAATTCTGAAATTAATTTCTGCTTTTTACTTATTTTCAAGCATATTTTTTGTATAGTATGTGATATTGTTATGTTTTATTATTATTTATTACATTTCAGGTATATTTAATTATGTCCATTTAATATTTTATGTGTACTGTATATATTGGTATGGTGCGAGATTTGCCTGGACTAAGGTCCAGACTTCAGTCTGCCTAGGCTGTTCTACCCATGTGGTAATCATTATTATATAATGATTAATTATAATATTTTTATGCGAATGCTAATACTATAAATAATACCTACCTACAAGTAAAATACAACAGTAATATATAAATAAATGAATATATCATAAATTATGTTTAGTAAGTAGTAAATATAGGCCAAAAGCCCCTTTTCGTTTAAAACTGATTATGTCACCTTTGATGTATCACAAAATTTTATTGTGTTCGGAATATGTATTTAAATAAAGAGCATTAATTTTTCAAAATATGTATTAGAATACTTTAAAAATATATATTTAGAATACAATATATTTAAATACTTTGACTATATACTTTTTCTCACTATTTTTTGTCAAGTTAAGAGTGGAAAATAATTATATAGTTAATATTTATAATTAATTTACAATTTTTCCCGATTTTTAAGTAATAAATAATAATGTGCTCGGTTTTTAATAGAAAATTTGAAGTTTATAACTGTTTTTCGATTATTTAAAATTGTATTTAAACTCTTTACAAGCCTTCTATTAAATATTTAGTACGATTTGTGTAAGTAGGTAACACGCGCATTTTTTATCAGGTAATAATTCCGTGAGAATTACTTTACTATGAAAATAAAGTACCTACCTTAAATAACAATAACATTGTTATTATATGATTTTCTAGATCTATAAAGAGGTACCTAATATTTGTAAGACTGAGAGGGCTGATGAAGAAAAATGGTTATCTCTATATGCTTACTGATTAATTAAAAATTAATGAAGTATAAGTAAATACTGTAATATTATATAGGATGGGGTAACCACACTAATATATTAACATACTGATTAAGTATACAATGATTTTAAACTGTTAAATTAAAATATTTGTTTGAGTATACCTACATAATATTAACTCAATTGAATAATTTATTGCATAACTCTTCTTTTATTATTAAGTTAAATTTTTAACTTAATTATATTAGAATATATTAATGAGATACATGCTTATATTTAATAAGTTTTGTTGAAACTATTTTAAAGACTCGCATTAAATTATAACATAATGTTCTGTATAATATTGATTAAATAGTTGGATATTTATGATTTAGTAAATATTTAATACATAATACACATTTAAATAATTAAAATAAGAAATATTTTCTTTAGTTTAAAGGATGAAAATACAAAATTTAAGCAATAATCCTAGCATAGGAAGCAATTCTGGGCCATAAAGCTGCACATTCTCTAGCCAAAGGACCAGTAATAGTACACCCTAAATTAAAAAAAAAAAAAAAACAGGAATGACTAAATGTTTCAGTAAATAAAATTAAAGCATCAATTACCTTTCAATTCGCCTTTCTTATAGATTATAATTCCAGCATCGTCATCAAAATATAAATATATCCCTTTCTTCCTTAAAAACGGTCCCTGTTGTGGAATGATTACTGCAGCCATAACTATAATAAACAATATATAAATTAATACACATGTTAGATTAAAACACAGAGATAACAAGCACAATGATCCTTACTTTTTTTACGGAGTTCTGAATTTTTTTCTTCGACTGTACCAACGATCATGTTTCCCAAACTTGCGTCTGGCAAACGATTCAATTGACCTTTGGCATCCTGGATGGCAATGATAAATAGCTCCTTTGTGCCTAGTAGTTACATGTGACAAAATTAAGTACTTTGTTATAACATTAAAATGTAAGTTAAACATACCACTTCTATGGACACAATTGATGACGGCACCGACTGGCAAATCGAGAGATATACGGAACTTGACTCCAGGGTAACAATCACGTCCTAAAAAAGCACATTATTTCATTATATTCGTATACACATCATCTTGCACAGCCCGCCGCGATGGCCGACGAACGAGTGTAGTTAATGCTATCGAAAAACGTCAGACGAACACGTTCGGTTGTTCGACACGCAAGTTTTTAGTGATTTAATCGTTAATAAAAAGACAATTGTATAAGAAATAAGACAAATTTATGTACCTTCTTTGGTCATTGTGGTGTGCTATTCGCGCGTGATCAAAAAGAAAATTACAAAAGAAACGGGACGAGAATCGAGTCTGAAACACGTATGAAACTACAATTAACGAGTATTTAGTATTTACTATTTACTATTTACTATTTACATAACGCGACAGCTGTCAGCTGACAGTGGAATAGAATGACAAAAAATAGTAATCACTCGTCGTAATGTAGACAACCAAACAAAAAAAAATAATCTCCCAAATCGTTAGAACGCCGAACACGAACGCCATCTGTCTAATAACAGCATCCATCATCGCGTGGGCACGAAACACAAAAAATCAGCAAAAATCCAAACGTTCCAAATACAGTTGGCAACAACAAATATATTTTAATTTCACATCCATACCCAATATCCATTGTACATTGTACTATAGGACATGGGTATTACAATGAATTGTATTATATAAAAAAAATTGAATAATATTATTTTATTTTGAAACGTTTGCCGTATGGTAATTTTTCCTGTGATCGTTTAAACGACTCAATGAATATTGAATGTGTTATTAGCACTTTGATATTGATAATTTATAAATAAACAGTGTTTTTTGTGCTAAAAAATTGATTTCAGATTTTTAAAAACACGTAAATTAACATAATGAACATTATGGAAAATATTTTAGACTAAAATAAAAATGTCAAATCTTTTGGAGTTGGTTTTATGATGATCCTATAAATATTGAATGTGTTATTAGCAATTTAAAGTTGTGTTTTTAGAAAAAGTTTTAAATGTTACATATTAAAATGTTGTGAAATAAACAAAATAAATTTTATAAAACGTTTTTTAGACTTAGATAGTGATGACAATTCCTTTGGTGTTGGTTTTATGATGATCATATGAATATTGAATGCGTTATTAGCAATTTAAAGTACCCAGTAATTTTAGCAAAGAGCTGTATATGTTGCATGCTTAAATGGTTTTTTGATATTAAAAAGTAAGTTGTTTGAATGTCAAATCGAACCGATCTAAACACCAGTTATTTGGTTAGTTTCGTTATTCGAACTCAATCGAACCGAATTATTTACCATTTAGGTAGGTAAGTTTGAAAATATTTTTTATCAAATATAATAACTAAAATTAATTTTTTCTACTTTATAATAATTAAAATTTAAGTATTATAATAACTATTTAAGTAGGTATTATTTTTATATTATTATGATTATACTTTCAAACCATTTAACTATTGTTAGTTCTTATTGATAGTTGTCAGTGTCAGATATATTGAAGTTAACTATAAGTTTAGAAACCTCTCATATTATGATCTATGCTTGTAACTATTGTAAAGACTGTTTTGACTCTTAAGTTCCACATAATCTTTCTTTATAATTTTTACGTAGTTCTTACTTCTTATTTAAATTGAATTATTGTGTACTTGATAATATACGTTTAATTTATTCCTATTGAAGCGCATTCAAAGTATATATAATATCGTAATAGTTTATTTATCTTTATTAAACTTTATTCATAAAATATTTTAACATCGTAGGTATAGACTTTGATAGACTTGATCTTTGTGATAGCAAATAACTAAAAAAACATGTTTCTATCCCTATTGTAATATTATTTATCATTAAACATGACTTAAATCCTCTATATTTAATAAAATATTATGTTGTTTTTTTAATATAATTATTAAATTACGCATGTATACTGTATAGACTAAGAACTTTATTTGTCAAACTTTTTACTAATCGTTATTAAGCTTTTGAGGTTGTTGATATAATTTTCGATCTGAATTCAAATGTTATTTATAAATATGTTCATCATATGAATTTCTATGAACCTGGTAAAGAATGATTTATCGTGTTTCTAATTTATAATATAAACTGAACCTGAAGAAAACGTGCAGAAGCTATATAGTTAATACACAAAATAGATACCATTCACTGGGATGTTAATCGTATGAATTATCTAGATTTTTGTTTTTTAATTAAATTAATATAGTTTTATTTTTCCATAAAATTTCAAACTTATCAGTTACCTAATGAAATGTTACTTTTCAGACTTTATAATTACTTTCAAAACATTTAACTTTTGTATATTCTTATTTATAATTGTCAGTTATGATAGTTTTATTAGCTTTAAATCATTTTATATCTTTGATGTTTGTTACTACATTAATTACAATGTCATCATTTTCACATTATTTTTAGTTATTTTTATTTATAAATAGGTAATGCTATAAAAGTAAACATCAAGTTTAATTTTTCTTAATTATTTATTTATCAAAATGTTATGTACTTATACAGCTGGTTATTCATATAATTTTTTTTATAAATTCTTAAACTATCTTTTTTTGCATAAGTGAGAATATTGGATGAACTATAATAATATGCTTATTGTATATATTTTGTCGATAAATACCTTATTTTACGTTATGTTAGCTTAGTTACTTATCTATGTCGATTTGATTTGATATTTGTTAACATATCATAATAATCAGACCAAGTATTTGAATAAATTATCTTAAATTTTATTTATACGTAAAGTGTACGCGCTCAATATATTTGTATACAATATGTAACATGGAATTTATTGACAATATTACAGCATCAATAAGGTGAAAAAACTTGGAATAGTTTTTTGTAAATAATAAAGTTAGGAAAATTTACGTCCATATTTCTCGAAATCTAATTTAATAAATGCTTCAGCGAACTCATTTTTTTCTTTTATCAGCACGTTGGAGAAATACTTTTGACCGTATATGATTTTTGCTATGGCATACAATAAAGTATATTGTTCTTCGTCGTTGTCGGGTGGCGAAATGTTTGACAAAACGTACACCATGACCTTTCCGCTGATATCGGACACGCACAAATGGTTACCGTCTGGTGAAAATTCTATGCCGGAACATTTTTGATTTGGATTTGGCATATTTTGTACAAATATTGGATCATATTTTGTCACACTTAAGTCCCAAATGTGTATAGAGTTGTCTGTAAAGTCAAACACATTGCTCAATTATTACTTTGCAAATACTATACACTAATGATTAAACGTTTATGAGATATTATGCTTTATAAATATGCTTTGTGATTAGAGGTATACTGGACCGAGCTTAAATTAAGTGCTGAGAAAAAATAGTATAATTAAAATTAGTCTTGTCCCGTTGTCCGTATATTTTGAACAATAAAATTTGGTTCGGTTCTTTAGTAATTAAATCGTGGTACTTAGTTAATAATGTATTATAATATGTATCGAACATTTAAATAAATATAATCGAAGCATAATAATGGACCTTATTCGAAGACACTTCAAGAATTTAGATATTTTTTTTGCTGTTTATTATTAGTATATTATTTCATTTATCGAGATGGTAAACTTAATAGAAAATGAATATTCATGTAATGATGTATAGTTGAGAATTATACAAATTTGCGTTTTCGCGTTGTGGTTTTTCAAAAAATATTTATTATGTACCCAGTTTATCATCATTAGAACAATAACTATACTTTTACTTACACACAAAATACATTTAAAATAAATAGATTCAATAGTATACTTTTTGCTTCAAATTTTTTGAACTTTAACCTAATACTATAAATACAATACATTTCTTTAAAAGTATGTTTCTACGATAAGATCTTTTTGCTCATTAATTATTAGTTATTACTCTTACGTATATGGTATATACAAGGCGCTTTTTTTATAAGTTAACATTCGTTTTCTTGAAAAGTATTAACGTATTTAAATATATTTATTTAAGTGCTATGTTACATCAAACTCTAAGGCAAGACTTTCATACTGACATATACTTCGGATTATAATAATATATTATTTATTATTAAGTTAGGTGGGTGGTTTTTTACTAGGATATTTCTAAGTAGATATTATAATGTACTACTATTGAACTGTTTTACGTTATTGGGTGACGCGGACATAGCCGTTAGAAACTTGGTGTAGATACAATGATTACACCAAAAATCAATTACACCTTACGTATACAATACGTATCCTTGGCATTATTGAGTACGAAAAATCAAAACACTTCAAAAAGATAAAAAGTATGAGAAGCATGTTGGCTTAGAATATTTTAAATTTGTCATTTACTTAATTGTATTAATTTGAAGGTAATTCAATCTAATTAATTAATAAGTATTTATTTGTTCTAGTCAATATCTTAATTTTTTATTGTATACTTTTTTACGTATAATAGTGTGCGACACTTGATGCACATTTGGGTGTTTTTTGTTGCATTTAAATTTATAAATAAGTATTTACTATTTATTGTTGTTTATATTTTAAATTACCAGAAAAATTATCTGCTTCTGAATATGCAACTAAAAATATATGCTGTTATTTAAAACAAAGACAATTTTAACATATTGACATTTGACATTTTTTTAAATATGTAGAAAAAAATATTTTTAAAAACATTAATACTTATTGATAAAATGAGTGTTTACCTTTAAAAGCATTATCTCACTTATACCGTTATATGATATATATATAGTCGTATATCTTTTTGTTATTTAAACTTTTATCTATAATGTATCTAGCATTCTAGCTAATAGTATGATGTGTTACCGATAATAGATGCTATTATTGTCGAACTTGTCCGGCTCCAAATAGCTTTTTCGATTTGTTTCCCAGTACTTAAAGTTATTACTGGTTCAAGAAAAAGATCACCTATCCATATGTTTATGTTACAGTCACAACCAGTTGTTAAATAAACATCTTGAGAGAAAGGCGATTTTTCAAGAGACTTGATTATTCCGAAGTGAGCAACAATTTTTCTAGGACGAGTCATCAAATCGTCGTATGAAAACGAGTAGATGAGACCATCTGCAGTGCCTACTAAATCCGCGTCTTGATTAAGTTCGATAAATTTAGTTACGCGAAAAACCGATTTATACGTTTTATTTCCGTCTACATTTTTCTCTGGGCGGTTGTCTTGTATTAAACTATGAGATAGTTTCATAATTAATTGTTCCTCTAACTTGGAACGTGAAACGTAATAACGTGAAATACAACCAATTGTATTGCACGCCATCTATATGAATCAAATAAAAGTCGAATTAATAAGCCCAATACTTACTTGTATTATGTAGACACGCGCAACTAATAATTATCATTATTTATAATACTAACTAGACATTCGAATTTGATTTCATAGGGTATCTTTTTTGTTTTCAATGTTGATGGTCCAAAATAGCTCTGAAATTCTGGTGGTTTCTAACGAA